CCAATTAAGCAAACCAAATCCTCCTCTAATTCTAGCATCTTGCAAAAGTTTTAACTTTATTCTCGCTTTCTTACCTTGCCATATATATTTCAACACAATTTTATTTAAATCTTCAAAGTAATCTTTTCCAAGCTTAATTGGAATTGTTTGAAACAAATATAAAATTCTGGGTAATATATTCATCTTGATTGTTGATATTCTCCCTATTAGTGACAGTTGTAAATTTTCCCATTTTGCCAGATCTAGCACTATCTGCTGTTTAAGTTTGATATAATTATTCTCTTTTAGTGTACTACATCTTGCTGTCAAATATATCCCCACGTACTTGATCTTATTCGTGACCTGAATTTTCAATAGGTCTGCCAGTTCTTCCTTTTGTCTTAATAGCATATTCTTTGTCAAGATCTTTGTCTTATCTTTATTTATTTTCAAACCAGTCACCTTTCCATATGTCTCCATCTTTTCTATCAATTTTGGTGCTGTTTCTAGAGGGTCTTCTAAGATGAAAACCAGATCATCTGCAAATGCTTGCAGCTTAAATTCTTCCCTTTTGATTTTCATTCCTTTTATATTCTTTTCATCTCAAATATTTCTGTTTAGCACTTCCAAAGTTAACACAAACAACAAAGGTGATAGTGGGCACCCTTGTCTTTTTCCTTTTCTTATATTGATAGAGTCTGTCAGTTCTCCCTCTATCATTACCTTTGCCATTTGCTTATAGTATATAGCTTCTATTGCTTGAATAAATTTTCTAGCAAAGCCCATCTGTTCCAGCAGTAATAACATGAATCGCCAATTCACATTATCAAATGCCTTCTGTGCATCTAGAAATATCAGAGCCATTTGTTTTTCAGGATGTGCCTCGTAGTATTCCAAGGTGTCCAAGATTACTCCCATATTATCTTTAATTTGTCTCTTTGGCAGAAATCCATTTTGATCAGGATGAATAAAATTATTTAGAGTGGGGCTAATGTCTTAGCATGAAATAAAGTCTTACACATGGCTGGGATGCCACATCTTCTCTTGAAGTGGAAAAAATGGAATAGCATTGGGAGATTATGTCGTGACAAAGGCATACCTGTAGTGAGTTTTCCTTAAACCAGTGGCATGCATTGCTATTCCTAAATGCTTGAAGTCTGCCTTGTGACCATTAATATTCTATGAGCAGAGTATCATCCTCTTGGAAAATTTCATAGTCTTTTTTATAGTTTATCAGCAATGGATTATTGCTGCAAAGTTGAAGTTTTTTTAAGGCCTAATGATGTTTTGGGAAGAACCACAGAATCTTAGGACCGGAAGGGGCTTTGGAAGCCTTCTAGTCCAACACCCTGCCCATGGCACTGCAGCAGCATCTCCATAAAGCAGCAGGGATGAACATTTGAATCATTTATACATTTCTTCATGTCACTGATATAAAACTTAAAAAACAGAGTGGCCAGAATGCATCCGTTTCGTCATTTTGCACTTGTGACCCTTGTGTGTTGCACCTGACCTTAAGAGTTATATTGGGAATTCTGGGTGGGGAAAATTGTGAGCTAACATGTCTTCAAAGAATGGAGAAAAATCTGAGGTGAAGACTGGTGAATGTGTGACTCCATACAAGGAGAACCCAAGAGTTTGTGTGTGTGCTGCTTCTCACAAGGAAACCAACAGATTCTAGAAAATCTATGGGCAAACTTCAAATATTGTAGAAAAGTCAAGAAAGACATTTCGAGCCCCCAGCCTCAGACAGAGCCTGTCTTCCCCCCTTTTATTAAAATTTATTATAATATAATATTCAAATAGAAACAAACAGCAGAAAGGGAAAAAAACAAAGGTGGATGAGAGAGACGATATAAAAGAAAAAAATCAGTGACATGGCCTTTTTCAGTGCAGTAGAGTACAAAATAAAGCTTTTTGCTTTACAATTCTAGATGCAAGTCATTTCTATAACAACAAAGTTAATCTAATAATCAAAGCCTAAATCAAAGTCATTTTTTTCCTTTTTCGAACATGAAGTCCCAGAAGTGGTTCTCAAGTAGAAACAAAACTGAGTAAGTTCTTTAATTAAAACAGTCAATTTTGCCATCTTTGCCACCTCCATCACATTTTCCATCCATTCTTCCATTGTGGAAATTGATATGTCCTTCCACTTTTGTGCCTACAGGCTTATCAACACTGTGAACGTAAATAATATGTTCCAACTTTTCTTTCTTTATCTAACAGATCTAAAAGAAAAAAATATGGTTTCAATATTATATTTTAAAAATCTTTTGAAGATAAAGATCTAGTCTTAATATTTCCTTGCTTTATCACAAGATCAACAGCAATAACTGTGACAGGGATCTGGGAGTTCCAGTGGACAGCAACTTAAACTTGAGTGAACAGTGAACTGCAGCTGCCAAAAAAACCCAAGCAGGGATAGTATGAAGATCAGGGGAAATGTTACTACTGCTTTATACTGCTCTGGTAAGACCATATTTGGAATACTGTGTCCAGTTTTGGTCACAAAAAAAATATTGAGAATTTAGAACAAGTGCAGAGAAAAGCAACAACGATGAATAGGGGACCAGAGATTGAAATATTTGACAGTTACAAGAACTTGGTACTTCTAGTTAAATAAAGAGGATTAAAGTTGACATGATAGCACTCTTCCAATATTTGAGTGGCTGTAACAGTGAAGAGGATATCAACCAATTTTCCAAAGCACCTGAGGGCAAGACAAGAAGTAAAAGATGGAAACTTATCAGGGAGTACCAACCTAAAAGTAAAGAGAAATTTCCTGACAGTGAGACAGTTAACCTATGGAATGGCTTACTTCTAGAAGTGGAGGTGTTTAAGAAGACATTGGACAGTCAGTTGTCTGGAATGGTATAACATCTCCTACTTGAGTAAGGGATTGGAATAGAAAAACTGCAATGTCCCTTCCAATTTTGTTACTCTGTATTCTGAAAATCCAGCAGAGACAGTACTTAGCAATAGCACTTGGGCTTACATATTGCTTCACAGTGCTTTACAGCCTCCCTAAGCAGTTTACAAAGTCAGCATATTTTACTGACTTCGGAAGGATGGAAAGCTGAGCCTTGAGCCAGTCAGACTCAAACTGCTGAACTAGTAGCAATTAAAAAAAAACTTGTTAAAAGTGTGAATTATAAAATTTATAATGGGTTTATTATGGCTTAACCCATAATATTTGGAATATTATTTATTTCAAAGGACTTGAATTTAATTAAACAAATATCTTCACAGAAAAGTAGACCATTTATTTTTCTTAAGAGGGCTAATTGGTGGATTTTCTTAAGAAGATGAGTGAAATGTGACAATAGAGTGATGGAGAGCTGGGTGGATATAGAGTTAAGAAAAAAGTTCACATTTTTGTTGCTTTAATTTTTTTGATTACAAATTTAAGGAAAGAAATGATTAATATTGAGAAAAAAATAAAAGAAGGAAGGAAAGGACTGTCAATTGAACAAATCTGACTCAGAGACTGTACAAAGGATGATGGACAAATCTGAAAATAATATTTATTTAACAATAAAATTTATATAACTGCCCATTTACTGATAGCAACATTACTGTGGCAGCTGTAGTATCATTGGCTGAATCTATTCAGGGAGACTTGATTTTATTTGAAGGGAGAAGGGAAAATATTTACAAATACAGAATAAAAGAAAAGATAAATATAAATTTGAAGAATCTGCAATATAAATGAGGCAGAAACAATAATTCAAGAGATGAAAAAAGATTTAAACAATGTGACATAACTGGATTTAAAAGAAAAAGGATTTTATCCGTGACTGAGAATAGCTATAGAACAATCTAGTGAAGACAGAAAGGATAGTGTTGTTGAAGCCCTGTTTTTTTTCCAGAATGAGAAGAAATGGATGTAGAAGAATACAGAATTAACACAAAAGAATGAAAAATTAAGATTTGTACTAAGAAATATACTGTGGACTTTATCAGGAAGAAGACAAGAAGCCAGTTTCTAAGGAAACATCTTAACATTAAGCTAAGGATATCAGAATAAGAAAATAATTTTGATCGGAGATAATACTGTATGCCCTTTATAAAACATCATAAACTTTTTGTGGACTTTTTTTGCTGAAAGTGAACAGAAATGATTTAATGATTTTTGGATTTTCCATTCAAAAGGATTAACTATGGAAAGAAAACATAATGTAATCTTAGAGGATGGAATGATACTAAGATTGTAACTCTGCTAAATATCCAAAGTCATTTTTAAAAAAACCTTTCCATTTCTCTTTTCTAAATTTTCTTCAATTCCTATCTCTTTTCTTTCTTGCTTAATCTCATTTTCTGTACCTTTTCATATTTTTCTTGGGTAAAAATGTCTACATAAATTTGCAAAATTTCCCCCAAAATTCATTTTTAGTTTCTCATTTGTCACCATTTCCTGGAAAGCATTAATTCACAAGACATAACTACCTTCAGATTTCTTATATCATTTTCCTTTTGCTTAATTAAAAAAAGTCTGTTTATTAATTCATGTTATCCACCATTTACTTCTCTTACATAATCATATTTCATATGCTCTGATCATTAAAAGCAAGGGCGTGAATCACTGATACTACTGTGGTTAGTTAAGCATTCATATGATACTTTTAATAAGATAAAGAATAGACTAGGTTATCAGCTGAGTCAGTATTTAGACCAGTATGTCAGTGAAAACCTACTTTTCACACCATTGTACTAGAGATGATCTTGCAAGCTAGCATATTGTTGCTTGCATCTTTTCAATAAAGGAAATATATGGAAAACTAATATGCATTTGAAGACACCACATCCTGAATCATATGTAGAAGTAATTTCATTAATATTTTAGTGTTACCGTATATTAATCCTTATAACTTTCTAACATAGGTGAAGCAGAAAACCTGATCTACTTAAGGCCACACAGCGAGGTTTTGGACATGAAGGGATTTCAATTCACTTATCTATATATGCCAGACAATCTCATGGAATAAGGGTCATATGAAACACCTCTTTTTCTTTTGTTTTAGGGCCCAATTGCTTTGCTGAGACCATGGTTATTCCGGCAGGTCGAGAAGTGAAGACAGATGAATGTACTATATGCCACTGTACTTACGAAGAAATTACTTGGAGAATTGAACGACAAGCTATGTGTACCAGACATGAATGCAAGCAAATTTAGATCTACTAATCTAGGGAATCAGGATATTTTTATAAAATATTTAAATCCACCAGATGATTTGGTGAAAAATGAGAGTCAATTTCAAAGAATACTTTTATTGAAGATTAAGTAGGCATCAAATATTTTGTTTTTGACAGAGGGAAATATATATGTCAGCATTTGCACTTAAAATATTATGTCATTGTAAGTGTTATATTTCCAAGTGAGTACTTTACCAATAGACTCACAGATTATATTATTTCTACCATTAGTTTAAATTAAATGTTTTATATAGATGATACTAATTAAAGTAACAAATGGTTGACTGTCTTCTTGCATATCTGACCATGCATAAAATAAATAATGTTTGTTATATTATATAGACTATTTTTATGAAGAAACAACAATAGGCATAGAAAAGGTAAAAATATTAATAATATTATAACCACTTAAATTTACAAGGAATGAGGTGTTTACCTATTTAATGCAATAGGACATTTGTTATTGACTTTAGTAATTTTTATCTGCACAGAAATATGAACACAATATGTGCCAATATTTCTTTATTATTAACATATACTGGCATGAACATACAGTAATCTGAGAGAAACTGGTCTACTTCATAATCTGCTGGATAATTTTTATATTCTGTTATAAAAAATTCAGTTCCCATCGGTAGTCTGAAAATATAACTCCTATATTTACTGTGATTAAGCATTTAATTCATATGAATAAATCACATAATTTATGTTTTTTCTATCTTAACTTAGTTGAAAGTACTTTTCCTGATAGGCAAATAATATATGACAAAACATATCCTGTTTCAACTGTAAAGTACATAACATGACATGTGGCATTCCCACTAATATATAAGTTATTTGTGAAAAGGCAGATTGTCAATCATTTTCAAGTCAATTGCTCATGACATCATTTTCAAGAATTCAAGACACAAAATGAAAAATATTACAGTTCTTATGTTAGAAGATTATTAAATTCTGGGAAATCCTCGCAACTCTTGCTCTACAAAAATGGCATTTTAAACAAAACCGAATTAAGAAGAATTTTTAAGCATTTAATTAATTTAGGCATCTTTCCCAAATACCTTAAAATACTTTATTGTAATTGAAACAGTTAAACCCATAGCAATTAGTATTTCTTTTCAAATAGCATCTTTCAAATATACCTCAGCTCTTGACAAAAAAGTAGAAAATACTTGTTTTTTTTAATTTATTTAGCTTATTAATTAGCTTACTCATGACTGTTTCATAAATAAATTTATATTCAGTATTTCAAATATTTTTGAAAATTCTAAGATGCTTCGTATTTATTGTATTTTCATGATAAAGCAATGATACAAATTTTCCAAACAATTTACCTAACAAATTCAAAGATTATGTTAAAAGAATGCAATAGCAACAGCTAACATTCCAGGCTTGTGGCTGTCCAGTCTCTTAAAAGTTATAAGGCACCCATAAATTCTGAATGCAAGCCATTTCATTGGTTAATTGTTCTCACTGTTAGGAACCTTACTTCTAGGTTGCTTCTCTCCTTGATTAGTTTCTATCCATTGTTTATTGTCTTTCCTTCTGGTGCTTTAGAAAATAGGTTGACTCTCTTTTCTTTGTGGCAGCCCCACAAATATTAGAACAGTTTTCATGTTACTCCTAGCCCTTCTTTTCAGTGAACTAGACACACCCAAGTTTTCATGTTACTCCTAGCCCTTCTTTTCAGTGAACTAGACACACCCAATTCCTGCAACTGTTGTTCCTATGTTTTAGCCTCCATCCCCTTAATCATCTTTGTTGCTCTTTCCTCCACTCTTTCCAGAGTCTCAACATATTTTTTTATAATATGGTGACCAACACTGAATGCAGTATTCTAAGTGTGAATACTAAGGCTTTATAAAGTGGTACTAATACTGCATGTGATCTTGATTATATCACTCTATTAATGCAACAGAGTATTGCATTAGCTTCTTTTGACTACTGCCACACACTGCTGCCTCATATTTAAGTGATTGCCCATTAGCACTCTCACGGTTACTGCTATTTAGTCAGGTTTCACCTAATTTGTAGTTATACATTAGGTTTTTCGTGCCTAAGTATGAAGCCTTACTTTTCTCTACATTGAATTTTATTTTGTTAGATACGACCCAATGTTCAAGTCTGCTGAGATCCAGATGGATTTTGAGACTATCTTGGGGTGTTGGCTATTCCTGCCAGTTTAGTGTCATCTGTAAATTTGATGAGTTCTGATGATAGGTAAGTAGGTAGATAGATTCTGTTTACCTTTTAAATCAATTTCTTAGATGACAACTTGAAAAACAAAATGAGGCATTGCTTCACCTTTCTCTTCTGATTTTTCACTCTTCTGATAAAGAAAAGTTATTAGTAAGAATATGTGATAGACTAAGCATTATACCCAGTCAACTGCAATACTACTGCAGGTATGGATAAAAGGCATTTTAATATTCATTCATTAAGAAAAACTCTGCTGAAATCTAGCAAAATTGACATCTTGATCTAGAACTTTTATTTCGAGAGGATTCTCTCAACTCACTTCTGCTAGTATACCCTGAGAAATCACTGATTCTTATGGATTTCAGTCTGTTTAGCACCTTCTCTACTCAGGAGCCCAGGAGCACTTAGTTGAGCTCTTTTCACACATTATCCACAGAGGTTCTTACACAAGCAGACATTTGCTCTACTCTTTTAATGTTTTCCTGACTTCAAGTTATACCTTCCTTCACCTCTGGTTCCAGAGAAATCTAGCTTTGCTTCTACCATAGTTCTCCTGCACAAGCTTTCTTCTAAAAACTAGTTTACCAAAACCATTTGGTTGGTTCCAGTTTCCATCTTGCTTACATTTTTTTAACAGCATATCTTTCTTTCTCTTTCAGATATCTTCTTTTTTATCTCTTCTAGATAAATTATTTAAATGATGCTTTCTTTCATATATCACCTTCCCTTTCTCTCTTTTTGTCTCCAGACAAGCAAGTTTTCCCCACCATGAGGAGGGTAGGGCTGAAAAGAACTTGCTAGGTATGCCCAAGGAAGTTTCTTCTTCCCATTCCTTCATCTCAAGGGATGTGTTTTGTAATTAATATGTACTTTCCTGCCCATTATTCAAATCTGGAATAAATATAGGCTATCTGGTTGTAGAGCAGGGTTGTCAAACTCACATTGTCACGGCAGTGTCATGTGACACATTGGGATTTTTTTTCCCTTTGCTAAACCGGGCGTGGATGTGGCCAGCATATCTGGCCCACAGGTCAGGAGTTTGACAGCCCTGTTGTAGAGGAAAGAGCTGCTGTATCTTGTCTATATGGGTAAGTGGGAGACATATTCATTGGAGACCTTATAAAATGAATGTTCTCTAATATAATTACATTGCAATCTGTCTGACAGTAATCCTTTTGTGCCCAGGACAAAAATTTCAGGAAAATAATACTGTATTGTATGTTGATGGAGACTTTCATGGTTATGAGCTTCCAGATTAAGAGCCATAATCTAAATTTATTGGGTATCTTGAAGTTTCACCAGCAACTATGACTGGCATTTTCAAAGGTGAAAGTGGTTAGCTTTATAGAGCATTCCTTGGTAATTCAGAAGCGTCTTAATCCTGAAGCTCATTGCCATTGTAGTCAAGGAAAGTTGGAGTTATCCTGTTGTACAATATGTTCCTACCACAGACTGAACCTTAATGTTAAGTATACATTTGTTTTTTTCCTGCTAACTTTTTAGATGGAACAACATCATAACGCAGATACTAAATGCAGTTTCCTTATTAACATCTTCATATAAATCTACAGTGTTAAGAAAAATATCAGGAATTGCTCTGATCCCCAACTTCGTTAATGAAGAATCAGAGGAATAAACTTAAAGAAATTATTAAGAAAATGCGAATAAGAGACTGAAAAATGGAGGTGGGGGGGGGAACCAAAGGAAACTAGATGTCTGAACAAACTGTTGCCAAGAAGAGAAAAAAAGCCAAATGAAAGAAAGAAAACTCAAAAATGAACTAAAGACTTATTTCAGAGTTTCAGAACTGTTAGAAGTGACAGAAAGTGGTATTAGGCTAATATCTGCAAATAACCTGAAAGAGACAGGAAAACACAAAGAAAGGAAGTCAAAAGGAAGATCCAACTAAAGGGCACTAGTGGACTAATTCTATGAGGTAATCATAACAATTTGGCATTGCTGGAAAATTGGTCAAAATGTGGAAACTGCAATTCAGTGTTTCTAATGTAAGATCATGTACTTAAAGGAAAAGAATCATCTGATAGAGTACGATATTGGGACTACAGTGTTAGACAGTACAAAAGAAGAAAAACATGTAGGTGCATACTCATAACAGATGAATGCAACGTGAGAAAATAATGTAGCCAGGAGGCTGTGGAAGATAAACAAAATTCTGGGGTGAATATGTAGAGGGATAACCAGCAAGAAAAAGAAGATCCTAATCCTGCTATATAGGACTTTAGTCAGACTCCATTTGGAATACTGTGTCCTGTTCTGGAAACCTCATTTAAAAAAGGATATTGATAAGATTGAGTGCGTCTAGAGATGGGCAACAAAAATTGTGGAAAGTCTGAGGATACAATGTATCAGGAGAGAGGAACTGTGTATAGGACGGAAGGGAAAGGGTGACATTGAAAACTTCAAATATATTAAGGTTGTGATAAGGTTTCAAAAGGTAGTATTTTCATTATTAAGCAAAAATCAAGAACACAGGGGCACAACTTCAAACTGAGGGAAGTTCAAAAGTAATTCTAGAAAGAATGAAATCAAGAAAGAGTACTGGAAGTTTGGAACCAACTCCCAACAGATAAACACTTGCCCATCATGTCAAAAAATTTAAAAAAATTAAAACATAGTAAATACATAAAAAGGACATTGGGAGAATATGTGAAAGACAGTGAAGAAGATTGCATTGATGCTAGTATACGTGGAAGTCTGAATATTGTAGAGACCAAAATGGCCTACAAGATGGACCAAATGAAGAACAGAAAAAAGGCATGGGAAGATAAAATAATACATGGCTACAACAGGTACTCCTTGACTTATGGCCACAATTGAGCACAAAATTTATGTTGCTAAGTGAGAGATTTCTTAAGTGAATTTTGTCCCATTTTATGATTTTTCTTGCCACATTTGTTAATTGAATCACTGTAGTTAAATTAGTAACACACTTGTTAAGTAAATCTGGTGCCCCCATAACTTTTCTTATCAGAATGTTGCAAAAGGTGATCACATGACCCTCGGACACTGCATCCATCATAAATGTGAGTCAGTTGTCAAGCATCCAAATATAAATCATGACCATGGGGATGCCGCAATG